CACATTGAACAGTGATTCATGTCATCAGTTGATCTGGAGGAAACAACGCCTCAGGCACAACCAATACTACATTGTGGAAAGGCACAGTTACAGAGGTGGTGGAATAATGGTTTGGGCTGGGATCTCTCTCGTTGGTCACATTGACTTGCATGTATTCCGTGGAGGAACTTTGACCAGTGTGAGTGTGAGATATCGAGATGAAATCCTAGATCAATATGGCCTCCCATATGCCGCTGCTATTAATCCTGGATTTCTTCTGATGAACAACAATGTGCGAGCGCATCGAGCTCGGGTTGCTGAACATTATCTTGAGGGTGGTATGGAGCGGATGGAATGGCCATCTCAATCCGATAGAGCATCTTTGGGACTACCTTGGGAGACAAGTTGCTGTTTTAAGTCCTCCTCCAAGATCGTTAGATAACTTGAACATGGATTACTCGGCGTCTGATCGTTGCTTACATTTTCACTGTCCGACAGCTTAATTGACAGCATGGAACGTCGCTGCCACCAATGTTTTGCAGTTAGTGGTGGATACATTCCTTATTAGAACCGATTTTTGCAATGTTGCCACCCCATTTTTCCTCAAAACTCTGTGATGTACTGTTTCTCCAAGACTTTATTTCTCTGCAAAGAGTGCAATTGTTTGTTGTAATTCATGTTTGTGTTGAATTTTTAACACATTGTAGAGTCATTAGGATTTTTGGAAGCCGTAGAGATGAAAAATTAACAACCGCCTTCGCCGGGAATCGAACCACGGACCTCTGGAATACCGGCCCCGCGTGCTACCGTTACACCACGAAGGCACGCTAGGGAAGGGGAAGAAATACCTTATAACATTTTATGTCGCATTCATTGAAGAACTGTTTAGTGATCCTGTCCTGTAAATTTCTTGATTTTGTTGCTTAATTCTCAAATTAGACTTAAAAACATGCTGTTCCTTAACTTTTGAAGGGCAGTGTAATTTGGAGCATTCATTATTACTATTTTTGTTTAAATGGAACTAAAATTTTAAGAATAAAAATTAAAACATAAAACATACTGGTACTTTTGTATTTGAAGCTGCGAACTTTGAATATATATATATATTATTTTAAAACTAGTAATTTTTACTGCAGTCAAACGGACATTCCAAATTTTTATATTTGTCACATAGATTTTTTTAAAATTTTGACTGACTAATATTTTCAGCATACTCTATTTTTAGAACAAATATTAATCACATAGAAATTAATCTTCGTATATACATATTTCATGAATTATATTGATTATCATTTGTGTTAAATAATTGGTTAATCAAGTTTGATCTAAAATGAATTATTAATTTGGAAAAATGCTTAAAACTACTTTGTATACTTTCATACAAAAACGAAAAAAAGAGATCTGAATATTTAAACATTAAATACATTATGGACATACTAACACTCTCCATAATTACCTTAAGTATTAAAGATAAAGTGCTTCATAAAAATAATTGTTATTATTTAGTAAACAATTCAAAGACTAATGCTCTAAACGTACTATTTTTTTAAATTTCGTTGCACAGATAATGAATAGTAGAGAATTGTACTCCAAAAATAATGTATATGATGATAAAAAGAATAGTCCATATGATATCAGAACCCAATGCAGATTCTATAAATTCAAAAAATATTTTGTAAACGCTAATAATTACACAGATTCTTGATGACTGCCGTATAACATTACAGTGTTAGCATTTTTCGAATTTTTTATATTTTCTTCCATCTCACACGTTCCAGTTTACCAAATGCACTTAGACTAATAGTTTCTCCTGACTCGAATAATGTACTGTATATAATGTATAAGACTACTACTAACCAAAAATGTACAAATGAGGGTGGTATGGAGTGGATCGAATCCCCAGACCCCTGTATTCGATAGAACATCTTGAACAAGGATTACTCCGCGTCTGGTCGTTGCTTCCCATTTCACTGTCCGACAGCTTAATTGACAGTATGGAACGTCACTGTCGCCAATGTATTGTATTAGGGGTGGACACATTCCTTATTAGAACCCATTTTTGTAATGTTACCCCATTTTTCCTCAAAAATCTGTGATATACTGTTTCTCCAAGACTGGATTTCTCTGCCAAGAGTGCAATGTTTCGTTGTAATTCATGTTTGTGTTGAACTTTAGAAACATTTGATGTCGCATTCATTAAAGAACTGTTTACTGAACCTGTCCTGTAAATTTCTTGTTTTTGTTGCTATTCTCATATGAGACTTAAGAACATGCTGTTACTTAACTTTTGAAAGGCAATGAAATTTGGAGCATTTATTAGTAATTATGTTTAAATGGAACTAAAATTTTATAAATAAATAAAAAAAACATACTGGTACTTTTGTATTTGAAGCTGCGAACTTTGAATATATATATATATATGTATCATATTAAGAACAGTAATTTTTCCTGGAGTCAAACGGACATTCCAAATTTTTATTTTATTATTTTCATAGTTGTTACTTGGATTTTTTTTTTTTTTTTTGACTGACTAATATTTTCAGCATACTCTATTTTTAGAACAAATATTAGTCATACAGAAATTAATCTTCGTATATATATTTCATGAAGTATGTTGATTATCATTTGTGTTAAATAATTGGTTATTCAAGTTTTATCTGAAATGAATTATTATTTTGGAAAAATGCCTGAAACTACTTTGTATACTTTCATACAAAAACCAAAAATGAGATCTGAATATTTAAACATTAAATATATTATGGACATATTATCACTCTCCATAATTAGAGTCCTTAAATATTAAAAGGTAAAGTGTTTTATAAAAATAATTGATATTACTTAGCAAAAAATTCAAAGACTAACGCTCTAAACGTACTTTTTTTTTTTTTTTTTTTTTTTTTTTAAACTTTTGTTGCTCAGATGATGAATAGTACAGAATTGTACTTAAAAAATAATGTATATGATGGTAAAAAGAATAGTCCATATGATCAGAATCCATTGCATATTCTATAAATTCAAGCACTATTTTGTAAACGCTAATATTTACACAAATTCTTGATGACTACAGTATAAAATTTACAGTGTTAGCAGTTTTCGAATTTTTCATATTTTCCTCCATCACACACGTTCCAGTTACCAAATGCTGTTAAACCAATAGTTTCTCCAAATTCGAAAAATGTACTGTATATAAAGCATAAGACTACTACTAACCAAAAATCTACAAACTAGTCTATAGCCAATATTTACAAAAATACGAAAATCACTAGACATTTTTAAAGCAAAAAATGTACGATTTACAAACATATAAGAGTAAAGAAACTGAGATCATTAAGCTGGGTAATAGAGTGGATATATATATATATATATATTTATATACGTTTGGTGCGGCCAATTGCAACCAAAATACGAGGTGCACATCTACATGTTATAGCAGTCCTATATACAAAATTTCAACGTTCTGAGGCTACTCGATTTTGAGTTATGCGAGATACGTACATTCGTACAGACGCCACAGAAAATTCTCTTCAGAATTCATTTTAAAGCAGTTTTACAATTTTTTTTGAGGAAAATAGTGTTTTATTCTGTCCTTACATATAGATATCACGGAAATACATCGTTAAATTGCATTCGATAGCGGTCAAAATGGATACTTTCATTGAAATATGCTGCCTGAACCTTTTCGCGATTACAATACTTCCTTTTTACTTCATACAAGGAAGTAAAAAGAACAGTTTATGATAGTTGTGTTTATATATACAGTCAAAAGAGGACATAGGAATACACACATTCATTTTTATTCATACAATCAAAAGAATACATAAGAATACACACATTCGTTTTTATTCATAGAATCAAAAGAGGACAATCACACAGCTGTGTTTATTTGTGCAACCAAAAGAGAATGTGTGCATACAGCGTCCTCACCTTCCTTGCAAAATATGGACTTCCTTAATAAAAGAAATTTTAAAATTTTACGAGTTGCATCATCATTCTGAAGCTAATTAAGGAACTTTGGTGCAAAAAGATTTCCAAAATTCCAATTCCTTCATAGGGTTCTCGGTTTGGTGGTGTGGCAGCACATGTCTCGTTTTCCACCATAGCCCAACCATGGTGTGTGTGTGTGTGTGTGCGCACGTGCATGTGTGTGTGTTTTCCTTAATAGCTTTTGGAATGTAATAAAAGTAAAGAAATCATGGAAAGAATTTTCTGGTCACCTGAAAGCAATGTAAAATTGCACAATTAATTAAAAATGAAAATATAATAACATAGTATATAATGAAATAAGAAAATATAGCTGGAAAATATAAGAAGAAGAAAAAAAGTGGAAATATACTGAAAGATGACATTTCTAAATATTTGAAGTCTTATAAAGGCAGTCAGTTACTACAAAGCCACACTATTAAACGTATGAAAAAATGATCAACACTAAAGGATGATAGAAGAATTAAGAGACTGTGCTTTGGTAACAAAAGGATCACTCTGAAACTCTTGAGACAACACATAGGTTTTTAAAGTTATACTTTAGAAATTTTTGGAGTGTTCAAAGTAATTTCCTCCAGCATCAATGCACTTCTGTAGGTGAATTTTCCAAATACTAAATGCCTGAAGCTATTAAATTTTTGGAATCGATGAAAAAAAAAAAATACATTTATACCCTCATCAGTCTTATCTGCAGAATGAAAACGACATCCACGTAAGTTCTTTTTAGTTTAAAAAATAGCCAAGGTATCAAGCAGTGGGTTTTACTGATAAGTGAAAAAATGATTTGAAAGTTCAGCTTCTGGAGAATCTGTGCAATTTTCTAACTGATAACAAACGTAAGGTTACTATTTTGCCAAATTTTCAGTTTTATTTTTTTTTCACGTAAAAGTAGTGCTAATTGTTTCCCTTTAAGAGGGATTTCGTGTCAAAGGTTTGAAGTAATTTGATAATTTTTTTTTTAAATGAGTTTCAGTAACTACTTGTATGCCACTTTTTCTTTTTATGTATTTTCATTATGTATTATTTTGCTTTTAATTTAGGAAGGAGAAGACAACGATTCAAGCTCAAGTGACAGTGATAGCGATAGTGGTAGTAATTCTGACAGCGGAAGTGGCAGTGATGACAGTAGTGACTCTGGCTCCGAAAATGAGGAAGAAAAAAGTGGTTGATTAGAAATTTAGCAATCTGACTAAATTTTAGAAGATAATATGTTTCTTCACTGACCACAAGTGCCTCTTTTTTTTAAATCTAAAGTGAAATGTGAGTTATATAAACAGCATTTTTTATTATAATATGCAAGTGTGCATTGTGTGTGTGACCAATGTTTTAAAAACTTTGCATTAAAAAACTTGGTTCACAATGGTTCTGAATGAAGTACCACAAAGAAGCTTACAAATTAGGCTGTGAATATAATGCCAGAATGTTTAGCTCACATTTAACACTAAAAGTAGATACTGACACTTTTTTAAAAATGGAAATGTACATTCTGCAAAGAAAATGAACATTCAAGATTTCTACAAGTCCTTGAATAACGGACCAAGTATAATTTCAAGGGTTTCCAGTTTTAAATGTTTGACTATAAGCATTTCTTTTCATTTCAGTTGAGAAAAGAAAGAAAATTAAAAATTTGATATTTTTGTCATTTTGTGTCTGAAATCTTTTGTTGTTGAATCTCCTCCCTCCTTCAATAATTTTAAAATCCATAATTATTATTTTATAATAATTATATCATTTGTTACTAAAGTTGCAGAAGTGAAGTTATATGTTTACTATGTCCCCTCTTTTTTAAAGTTACAGATTAACAGCTTTGAAATGTTTTGGCTTTGAAATATAATGAAGATGAAAAACACTAAAGGAAGTTTGCTGAGTTTTTTTATGTGCCACATATAATAATGTTTCTTTTAGAAAATAATTTTACTTTTTAATTCATTTTGTATATATGTATATTACATGTGTATCTTAATTTGTTTTTGGCTCTTGCTTTTCTTTTTCCCCCTTCCTCTGTATTAATAGAAGTTTTAAATTACAGAATGAGTATATATGCCTCAGTTAATGTTTGCAACACATTATTTGTAAACTTTCATTTAATATGATTATTTTTTATTAAATGATGTTATGAAGTGAATTCATATGGTAAATAGCATGAATAACTGCCAATTTTTTATCACTTTTCTGTTTCTTTCTGAGATCGTATTTATTAAAAGTTAAAAATTCTAAAACATCCCATTTGTAAAGTTATTAACTTATGCATGCATAGTGTATGTATAAACTTCATAGTTCCTTTTACTTATGGGAATGTTGAAACTTATTCTTGAAATGAAAGTCCAGATCTAGTCACATAGTCGGATTTCAAGAAAATGTTTTGCATGTCAGATTAAGAATTAAAACTGGATATCTGTATTATATGAAAAGGAGTATTGATTCTGGTATGTGCTAGGCATTTTGAAATAGCTAAATATTCTAGAAAATTAAAAATGTTTCCCCCCTTTCTTTGTTACTTTTTTCCCTCTCTCTTTCACCTTGATAGTTACCACTTCTTAATTTAAAATAGGTGTGCTTTGTTAAATTCCTTTATCATTCTCGAATTAAATAAATATTTTCACATTTTAAAATTATGATTTAAATTATTCTAGCATGAAAATTTATTTTTTGATATTACATCTAATTTACATTGCATGTGAATGAATTTATAGATGAATCTTAAGTATATATATCTTTTAAAACTGGCATAACTTTAATGCAGTGGCTGAAAAACAACAGAAGAAAATACATATAAACAGGATCAGTACTGCAGTAATAATTGTTTGATATCTGATCTCAGATTCTTTTTATGTCACATGATGTTTTAACTTGCCATTTTCCCAGGCATGTGTGTAATTTATTGTATCAACCTGAGTTAAAATTTCAAGTTTTCTTAACCTAAAATTGATGACAAAAATTTATTTTCTTACCAATAAATGGATTGGCTCTAGACATTATCTTTATCTTAAAATGTATTTTAAGTTTGTAATGTCTACTGATTAGTATACTTTTTTTTAGAGTATTGCAATTAAAGAGATTTGCTCATCATTAGATTATTTTTTAAAAGATTCTTATGTCTACAGTATAGAACTTTATCTCTCCCCCCCCACCACAATAAATAAAAGTTTATAGATTTTCTTTAACACAGTCGTGTTTTACAAAAAAAAAAAAAAAAAAAGCATGCTCAGTAAATATGTATTTTTGAATGTTTCAGTTTTATTTGCTGTTTATCATCCGCATTTATTATTAAATTCCTTTGCATTTGTGCTGATTAAGTAATAGGAATAGCACTACATTTTCCTTCTGAAATAAAGATTGGGAAAACATGTTGAGTATTAACTTAGAGGAAAAAAAATAAAAAAATTAATACTCAGCATGTATTAATTTAGAGGAAAATAAATGAATCATGCTCTAAAACTTACGATTCATAATTCTAATAAAAATTTGCTTGAATTTTTTTAAAGGATTCATTTATTTATTATTTTAATTGTTCTTTAAATTAGAAATTTATTGGTTCAAAAAATCTGAAAATTTAAATTTCTTAGGTATTTGGAAGAATTTCATTATTTTGTTTTAAAAAAATAAGCAGCTATTTTAAATTCATGGCAAGTGAAAAATACCTAAGGAATAAATGAAAACTGTAAATTAAAAAATGATTTTTGACCTCTATGATTACATATTTATAATATTGGAGAGACTTTTTTGTAATACAGTTATTTTCCTGTAAATTGTAAACCAGTATGTACTGCAAAGAGGTGCTCTTGGAAAAAGAAAAAGAGGAAAAAATATGTGTGCAATCACATTTACTTGTCAGAATGTGTAGCAAATCAGAAAAAAAGCATGTAATTCTGCATTTGTTAATTTAATTTTAGTTTTTATTTTTTGAAAATGTGTTTAATGATTCGATATTTATTATAATTAAAAAACTGCATTTGTATAAATGCTATATATTCTATGTGTGATCAAGATGTGGTCGTTATATCTAATATGCTTATAAAATATCTGTACATTTAAGAATAAAAATTTTCTTACATAAATTTCATTATATGTGTACTTTTATTTCATTTTATCATTCTGTTTATTTCTATAACCATTGTGTTTTTTATTTATATATTTATAAGTATTAAAAATAATTTACTTATGGTAATCAATAAATATGAGATGTTTTTCTCAGTGGCTACACATTGTCTTGTATATAGATTTATGTTGAGATGAAAAATTATTTTAAGCAATTAAAACATTCTATACATTCAAAATTGCATTCAAAATACATGCAGTGTTTGTAATATAAGGAAATGATTTTTTTGTAGATGAAATATACAATATATAGCATTAGAAACAAATTTTTTTATTTATAATAATGATCGAAATGTATCAAAATTTATCAGTTCAATGCAATATAATAAAAACTGTATACAATATTTTGTTACTACTTTTGCAAAAAATATTTTAAATACGTTATTATGAACCATATTTTTAAAAAGCTCCCCCCCCCCACTGGTAAGCTACATACTGATATAATTCGAAAGAAGAAAAATATAAAAATAGAATTATGATTAATTTGATGATGCTTTAATATGATAATTATGAATTTTAAAGCATTTAGTTATGCTGATTAGCTATGCACTGTTATAATTTGAAAGGGAAAAATGATGATCATAATGCTGGGGGAATGGCAACAGCTCTCAGAACAAGTAATGAGGAATGTATCGTGGATGATTAATACTCTGTTAGTATAACATGCTATGATTAAAAAACTGGGAAAACTAGACTACAGATTATATCATACTAACATCAGTAATAAAAATGCAAAATTTTGATATTTCTTGCTGATTTATTCATGCACAAGAGGATATTTCTTAAAAGCAGATTAGAGTTTTGTAGTTTTTTACTCTTGACAAATGATATATATAAGTCTTTTATGCTTACTACTTGATATAGTATGAAAGTGAGCTTTATACTATCTATCTTTTATAGTAAAGTGATTTTATGCTAGTATATATGCAATGTATATTCAATAGTAGAATACCTTTAACGGCTGGCATGCATATGTAAGTATTTGATGCACTTCCTATGATTTTTAAGTGCTTATTGTAAATTATGTATCTGATAAATAAATAAAATTATAGAAATAATTATGTTTGTTCCTGTGGTTGTCTTGAGTAGCTTGAATAATGAATGCATATATACAGTACACTTATTTGATATCTGAAACTTTGAAAATAGTGAATAAATCATTCAAAATCTGTTTTAGAAAAAGTCTATTAAAAATGCAGATACAATGAATGAAATTGTTGGTTGTGCATTAGCACTGAAGGCGTAATGAGTACGTTTCCTCAAGCACAGAATTAAAGAATCATAAGTCAAAAATTTTAACTACGAAATCTTTATTTAATAAAATAGGATAATTCTGCTTAACTTAAACAATAAAGTAATAATCTTCACAGACATTAAAATTGAAGTATTCAAAAGAATAACTTACATAGAATCATCATCAGTACTAAATATCACCAGGCTTACCTATTTTAGGCAATAAGAAAAAAAAGAAACAGGAATATACTTTGACACCACAGCTGAAAAAGAAGAAAGTACTAACTTGATTAGACCTTTGGCCAGGTACAAATAGCGAGGGTGAAAAATCAAATATACTGCATTGCACACAAACTTTACTTTCTCTCGCCAATATATATCTTAGGGCACGTTCGTTTCGTCTTTCGAGTTTCATCATGCAAAATACCTAAATTTATGCTAACAGAAATGTTAATTTTAGAAAAGACATTAATACAAGCAAATGAGAAAGAATAATAGCAGGATTTTAATTTGTCTAAAATGTTTACTTAAGCAATGTTATATAGTTTTGAAAAACCTAATAATGAGTCTAATATTGCTAGATAGTTTTCCATATGCAATACTAGTTTCTATTTATTCTGTTGCTGTGCCATGTAAATATATATATATATATATATATGTGGGAAATCACAACATCCAATGCTGAAGTAGAATTGCCCGTTATGACGTCATCAGTATAGCATCACCCAGCGCAGTAAGAATCATCCCAGACAGCGCTGAGACCTGGTCGGAGTGGAGGGCAGAAGTGAGCAGACGGCTCACACGTCTTCAAGAGTTTATAAAACTGTTGGTGCATCATTGTTATCCTGCATACCGTTAACTTCATCTTTATATACTTTTCTTAATTACTTTTATTTCTTTATATTAATAAACCATTAAATATTACTTCGTGCTCTCATGCTGTGAATTAAGTCAAATTTTTACACACACACACATATATATATATATATATATATTTGCTTACTAGCATTCAAATGTTTGAAGTCATGAAACCCTGATAGTTCTCATGCCTCTTAACTGAGGATAATCACATAAAAATCCCACAAACTGATCTTTCGACATTCCAAAGGTTTCTAATTAAAGATAAACAACAGTACCCTAAGTTAAAAAAATTATACAATGCCTCTCTTCTTACAGCCTAGATGTATGTTACGTATAAGTTCTTCTGCTGCATAAATTTAATGAACTTCCTGTGAATATGTTCAAAAGTATTCCACTTGTGAACTTTATAAACTGTAATATTCTGTTCCAGCATACCATTTTACATATCTTTTTTAAAATTTTGTTGGTTTCTTATCAAAATTATTTTCTGTATTCCCATTTTTTGCATTCTCAAATCCCTGAGCTCTCAGCTTCTTATTCACAGTGTGTTTTGATGTTATTCTCAATTGATTTCACCGCATGGACATTTCTTTAATATTATTAGTACAGTTCATTATGACATTGTGTTCCCAGTACTTATTATATTTATCTCATTATGTTTATCTGTTATTTTTGTTACACCAAAACAGATGTTCTCAATTTAATTCGTGAATTTCAGATTATATTGAAACTGTATTGTAATCTTTTTATGTTCTGAATAATTATTTTTAATTAATAATCAATGCAAGGTATATGGTGGAATTGCACAACGTACCATAACAGGTAAACTCTAGATCCTTTGGTAAGCTTCAGTTGCTCATCTTCCCAACATTCTTTCTTTATAAACTCTTATAAAGCTTGCAATTATTTTTACTATTTTATTCAAACTAAGCCCCTTCTCAAGCTTGCCAATCATTCTACCGTGTGTAAAGACGTCCTGATGTATCCTTGTAGTCATACTGCACGTACAGTCTCACTTTCGCTCTCAGAAGAATGCTCAGTAATGATCTCTGTTAAGTGGACCTCTGTCAAAAATGCAGAGCTCTGTTCATCAGGATGCCTCCCCAGATAAGAATGCCAAGACCATTCCAGTGGTCTCTTTCCCTGATGATAGTGGGATAAAAGTGAGTCCCTACCTCTCTCCATATCAAATGATAAGTTTGTGACTCTGAAGCAATTCTAACTGGTAAAGAAGATGGGACTCTAGTGATGTCCAGTCTTTATGTTTTTTACACAACTCTAACCAGAGTTATTGATGGGCTGTTGTCATTGGCAGTGTTCAAGATGGCAGGCAAATAGGCCAGCTTTAAGAAGTCCTGTAACACCTGTCCATCCAGTTGCCATGCACAGCTGCTGAGCAATGGTGCGTGCCATCTGATTTCAAGGAGATGCACTTTGCTTTCTGCTCCTTAAGTTGCTTTGCACTGCACACGCTGACTCCACGTGTTTTGCATGCCCTGACGTACCCTCTGATGCCATTGATTTGCATATGCATCACCTTTCAACATTCATTGTACTGATTACAGAAAGTCATTTTCAATAATTTCAATGCTCTATGTGGAAAAATGAATTTGTTGGTTAAGTTAATGTAGTTAAAATCAAAACTGTTGTCTTGTAAACTTAATTTTTAGTGAATAAAATTTTATTCTTATCTTTCTTACACATGTATTGTTTTATCCTGCTGTTGTAAATCTCCAAATGTATGTATAATTATCAGTGTCTTTGATTCAAAAGATGTCTGTTTTTTTATTTTATTTTTTATTATTATTTTAAAAATTTAAAGCTTTTGACATGAAAAATCGATCATCCTAGGCTTTTTGTTTTTGAAATGCCCAAACTCCTAAAAGAGATGTGAAAACTGGTCCTGTTTTCTATAAAGATAGATGATTTCCGCAGATTTATGAAAGTGGGAGGAAACGTTTGGCCAAAAATCTAAGGTTTCTATTGTTGATTGAAAACTTTATTTGCACAAATGTGGGAACACTTATATTGGTCTAAGAACGTTTTCCTCTCTCCTAATGCAGCTTATGGATTAAGTTATATTAAGGAGCTTTAAAAATGTCATTACAGAAAGCAGTTCGGTTTTACATATTTTGGAGTGACAAAGATATATTGGTTTCCTTTTGCTCAAAAATATTTGATGTAAAAAGACTGATTGTAAAAAACTAAAGCTTTTGACCTTTTTCGTAAATTATTATAATATTTAAGTTAGTTAAATTTTTTTCATAATTAACTTCTTTTTTTTATGTTAGTATCGTTTGCTTCATTTTATTGTTGCAAACAGCGTAAATTCCTTTTGTTTTTCTTCCTTTAGTTTTGAACTTTATGTGTGGCAACAAGATAATTGATTGATAGAATTGTGTTTGTGACAGCCATGTAGAATGGCTCGCTTATTTTGTATCAATTATTTCGCATCGCTGACAAGTTATTTATAATTAGTGTAATAAATAAAGTGTAGGAATACAGTCCATTTGTTGATTGATTATAGTTTGTGAAACATATTAAGTTTAAGAACATTTATTGTTGGTCAAAAGTCTAGCCGGAGAGCTAGTGAAGATAGTGACTGTTCTAAGTGTATTCTAACAACGCAAATATGCATATGGTTGGTGAAAAATTACTCCACTTTGTGAGGTAAGTGGATTTTGAACAAAAATTCGTTTAATTTGTTGTTAAATTTTAAGAACAATGTTGTAATACAACATAGAATTCGATTTCATTTTAATAATAGTGTTAAGTGATTTAAGAACAATTTCTGTTTTTGAATTGATCAATTATGAGTGAACTTATAACTTTTAAAACAAAAAGAGCGGTCTTACGCAGGAGTGTTACTAATTATGTAAAGAAAATTGAAACTATTTTAACTGCAGATGAAATTAATTTAATAGAACTAGAGGAATGTGTCGAATTATTGAAACAAAAAGAAACTGAGTTAAGGAAGCTTGATTCTGAAATCGAAAGTTTAATTACAGATACTAAAGAATTAGAAAACGAAATAGATAATGTTCAGGAGTACACAGATAAAATTTATTTGTGGAAATTTAAAGGTGAAAAAATATTAAAAAATCAAAATAATAAAAATAATTCTAATAGTGTAATTTCAGAACAGGTTCTTGACAATATTAAATTACCCAAGTTAACATTACCGACCGACTTTTGGTGGTAATATTACAGAATGGATAGCTTTTAAAGATCTTTTCAGTGCTTGTGTAAGAAATAATACAAATTTATCTAATGCTCAAAAATTGCAGTATTTGAAGGCTTCGTTGAAAGGTGAAGCATATCGCATTATTCAAACCATTCAAATTTCGGATTGTAATTTTGAAATAGCATGGAATCTGTTAGACGAAAGATATTCAAATAAGAGAGAACAAATTTTTGCATATATTAAACGTTTTTTAAGTTTACCAACTATTCAAAATGAATCAGCATTTGCTATTTTAAATTTAGTTGACAATATTAATGAAGTAATTCGTTCTTTAGAAGTATTGAATCAAACCATTGATAATTTTGGTGACACTTTAATGACTTATTTAATTTTGCAAAAATTAGACCCTTCTACAAAATTATGGTGGGAACGTCAGTTAAAATCTAATGAAATTCCAAAACTTACGACTTTAATTGAATTCCTAAAAAACTATGCAAGAACACTTCAAAATAGCAAATCAACAAGTAATAAGGTACCTAAATCTGTGTTTCAAAATAAGAATAATGTTCTGGTTGCTACTTTGGGTTGTGGTTATTGTAAAGAAGATCATAGTTTAGCCAAATGTTCGAAATTTCTAAATTTATCGGTTCAGCAAAGGATAGAATTTGTAAAATCTAATCGTTACTGTTTTAATTGTTTATCTAATATGCACTTGCTCAAAAAATGCAAGAGTTTAAATACATGTCAACATTGCTTTAAGAAGCATCACAGTATTTTGCAC